GCACTTGCTTTTCTATTGTATGGGATATTGGACTATAATAATGTAACTTTTTTACTTTGTTATTTAATATCAATGCAATACACAACCCCTTTATCCATCACTATCAAACCTGCTATTGTTTATATACAAAATGTGCAATTATTTAAATAAAGTTGTCCAATAATAAGACAGTCTTCCCCTGTTTCTGTCTTGTCTCTGTGTTCCAACTCTGTTTTACCTTTGTCATTGTCCTTTTGGTTTAACTTGAAATGGTTTCATCTGCACAAACAGTCACTGTCATTGCTCTCCCCGACTGCATATTTTGTTAGGAATTCATATTGCCTTTTTAACAATTATCCTGACATCTTTCTCTGTCACACACATTTGTTTGTAGCTCTCTGTGGTTGCAGCAGAGGGAGTTGCAGGCAGAAATAATATTTCATCTCAAACGGAAAGAATTTCCTGTTTTAACAAACTTCACATTTCTCCTTTTTTCTTTTGACCTGAAATAGTCTAGTCCTGGGTTCAAATCATTGACTGTATACAGATGGACAATGTTAATCCGCTTGCTCAATGAAGCCCAATAAGTGTTCATGGTGAAGTTTGGCTCCAACTCTCTCTGGCTCTCTAGAATGTTGAGTGTGTCACACTCAACATTCAGGAACCAGGAACCAGAGATTACAGAAAGAACAGATACCACAAAGTAATCAGAGAGACCACAAGATGTTCTTATGACAGAAGTTTTAGAGCTTAATTATGCAGAAAGAGACGACACAGTTTCTCATTACACTCATTTAATGTGGATACTGCGACCACAGATGACTGCATTAATATAGATTAATATACTTTATATATTTATATATAATATGTATATGTTTATAATAGTGTGGTGAAAAAGGGATTTAGATTCATTTAGTCCAAGACAAGCCAAGGTCCCGGGTCTGCGTGGGTCTCTGTGAAGAGAGAGGAGGGAGAGAAGAGTCTGCTTGGTCTAGATGGGTCTGTGTGGGATCTGAAGTCTGGGTGGGTCTGCTTAGGTCTGGGAGGATCTGCTTGGGTCTGCTAGGGCCTGGGTGGCCAGCAGGGGCAGCATCAGGCAGTGTCTGTGTGGAATGATAAGAGTTGTAAACAATACGACTTTTGGGCTGTTAAGTGTGACGTCATACGGAGTCATGGCATGTGTGCTTCTAATGCGCTCATAAACTTATACAACATCATAAAACCGCTAGTATAACAGTTTATTTTAAGTCAAAAGAGAACTTGTGGCTCGTCTGCAATGCAGTGATTATAAGCCCTCAGTATTGGTCCATGTCCGGTTGGGTCTTGGTACTGCTCCCGCCCCTCATCGTGATGTACTTGATATCTCCGTAATCCCACTTCAGCAGACGTGAGTTCAGGTGGTTAGAAAAGTTTATGGAGTATGTGTGTGAGGGGTTTTACAGCCTTAAAACATGCAGCTGCTACTTCAAGGATTTCACTTTTTTCAGAACGCAGCCTGGCTTGCTAATGGTTATTGATGTTGTTGGAGTATACACATGATGCATAGGGGCGCTGTAAAAACATCCACTAAACAGCAAGGGACCACTGTATTCAAGAGTTAGCTAAAGTTCACTTATTGTTAAGCTAGCAGCCGCCTTGTTTTGTGGCCTCATTTGGACTTAAGCCACACCTTTGCATTATGGATAGTATTGCTTCTCTTTCATGTTACGTTAATTTAGTTCATTTAAAAAGGAGCTAAAAGGTGTGCCAAGTCAAAAATCTACGCTGTTTAACTTTGTTAAAGATACTAAGCTAACAGCTCTTGAACTAAAGGAGCGGACAAAGACACGCTGTGAAATTGTGAGATTGTTATAAAAGCTGTCCTTGTGTTACGATTTGCGCTAGCATTTACTTCGGACTCAGAGTGCGGCATATGACGTTGTCACTTGAAACAGCCGTACAATGAGATGGAGCTCACCTTGTGCAAAAGTGTTTTCCCACCAGTGTACAGCGCCCCCTATCTGTGTGTTCAGACCACAGATTTCGATTTCGAAATGGTTGACGTATAGGTTCTTGCCAAATGGAATATTTCAGGTCTTGAGCGTTTTCTCTACACTTTAGTGGCAGCATTTACATTAGTGGATCAGGACTCGGCTCACTTGGTGCATTCACACAAACATTTGCAGTGTATGTAGTAACAGAATAGCGGATTGAAAATGTTTTCTGTTACATCTGAACCTAATATGGGGCTTGATTTGGACCTCCTTTGGACCCTCTCAGACCCGGGACTTTGCTCCGTTGGCAGCGACAGCACGTAAACATGTTGTGAGCCCTAATCATGTGACGACAACAACGTGGCATTAAATATTCACATCAGCTGTATGCGCTCACCAGACTGCAGCCTATACAGATTCATATATCTCCAAAATATTAAAAATATATAAAAATACCGAAGGAATTGTAAAAAATGAGCAAAACATTGAATTCCATATGAAAACCATGCAAGAAAGATTCCCCCGTTTACAGTTAAGAGGTGGAGATCGTAGAGAAGTCGGGAAGTGATGACGAGTCCTCCAGGAAGCCGATCCTTATTTGGTCGTTTTCATTACTTTTTTTTGGAATCAAAGGAAAACGTCCAAAGAAACCAAGATGGCGCCGTCAACACAAGCACAACCCCAAATATGGCTCTGGTACATAGAAAGCCCCAGGAAGAACAGTGACGATATGGCAAATCCACCCGGGACCACGCGCCGCCGGCAGTCCGCCAGGAGGGGGTGCTCTGGCCGGTTCTGCCCCAGAGAACACGAGTTAAGCAGCTTTGAGTTTTAGTGACGATTTACAAACGTGTGGAGTGTTTTTATGAACAGATGCTAGCTTGCTGTTGGCGTTAACATCAGTAAAGCCTGTTAACTAACTGGGAGATACTCAAAGAAAATGCTAATGCTAACCTGTATGCTAACATTATGCAACTTAAAAACACCACACATTTGAAAAGTCAATATTTGTCTTAAAAGCCAAAACTCATAAGCGCAGAAACGGCAAGAGCAGCGGAGTGGCAGCATAGGCGTGGCCTCCGTACACGGGCTCCTCTGATTGGCAGACAGATGGCGAGTGGCGGCAGAGGGACACAGTGAACACGAGGGGTTAATTATTCTCTGCCGCCATTACCGTGGAAACCCGAACTCTGCGCAACATTCGGAGACGTCGTCGCCGCTTCAACGTCACCAAAAACAGGTGCGCAAAACCTCAATGACGTCTGCTTTTTATACAAATGCAGCTGGTTCCGGTTTTTCAGACTATTTTAACCCATTATGAGCGATTGAGCAAGGTCCCTTTAAATACTTCAATTAACTTTAATCTGGTTTTGAACAAAACATTGAATGTCAGCTTCTTAGGGAAACAAACATTGCGGTTTAGTTAGTAAGGAAGTCGGTAATCTTAATTTATATACCGCAGTTCACACAGAGCTTTACAATGTTATGGAATACCCATTCTGTCCACACAGTGGCAACAGAAGCAAGATACTGACCATCACCTCCATTCATTATACTCTGACCTATTGTACGAGTGTTTAGACTTTCAAGTCAAATTTGACGTGGTTCTAAGTTGATGTCTGCAACTTTAATTGTATTTAATTTATATAAGACACAATTTGACAAAATGGCCCTGGAGTATCAAAATATAGTATTTTCTTTTAATAATTAACAGCCCCTCCCCTTGAAATACGCCTCACTGGTACGATTTGCTAGAGAACAGTTCAATCAATGGGAGGGGCCTCAATGGGATAAATTAAGAGGTGGCTATGAGGGCGGGGATAAGTGATGGTTGTATTTGAAAGATGTCTCTTCATCCTCACAATTGGGAAAGTAATTTTCTAACGTGCATATTTATTTATTGTATATTTGGGCAGTGTATACCAGCTCTAAAACCACAACAGTCCAGGCTGGACCAGACCAGGCCAAAACTGTTCTAACACAACAACAGTCCACTAGAGCTCAAAGAGACTGGTTCTGCGCAGCACACAAGGGGTTAAAATCTCTAAAACCTCCACCGGACCAGATCAGACCAGGCCAGACCAGTCCAGGTTAGACCGGACCAGACAGGACTGGACCAAGTCGGACTAGACCAAGTCGGACCTGGTTGGACTAGGTATATATGGACCTCTCTAAATTTTGTTGGATCCTTGTGGCATTGAAATGGCACGGTCCGAGTTCCGCAGAGTCAAACAGCATCGACATAAAACGCAGAAAAAACAAAACTAGTACAAAAAACAGGTTCAGAAATCACGACGACGTAAACGGAGGCGCGCCCACTTCCTGTTTCAGCAAATTACTGCGCTCTGATTGGTTCTAGGCTTAGTCAGTGTAGATGTGTGTATTGGTTCAAATCAGGAGAAACAAGAGAAAAGCAGCAGTAGAGTGATAGAGTGCGAGTTCAATAAATTAAATTCTAGTGTTGCTCATTTGCGGATATTGTATCGTTGTGTTTCCTTCATTTGGCAGAACAGTCGTCAGTCGTGTGGGTTTTGTAAACAGGAAGTGGTAGGGGGACAGGAAGTGGGAAGCAGACAGGGAGGAGGAGGCAGACAAGAAGTGGGAGAAGGACAGGAAGGGATAGACTGACAAGAAGTGGGAGGACAGAAAGGGCAGAAAGTGTGAGGGGGACAGGAAGTGAGAGGATAGAAAGGGCAGAGAGTGTGAGGGGGACAGGAAGTGGGAGGACAGAAAGGGCAGAAAGTGTGAGGGGGACAGGAAGTGGGAGGACAGAAAGGGCAGAAAGTGTGAGGGGGACAGGAAGTGGGAGGCGCACCCCAGAGAGAAAACAGCACAGTTTCATTCCGTATAGTTCTCATGCGACTCGACACGAATGAACACGACATGCAGCGTACTAAGATCGATTGTCCGGGTGCAGACCGCTGGATCGCCTCTTCGACCGGGTCAGAACTGGGCCAGATTCGTAGTCAATATTGGATCGGAACCGGAGTTAGACCAGGTCAAAACATGTTGGGGTTTTGAACCGGTGGAGTGACCTGGGCCCTGGTTTTAGGGCCTGAGGAGGAAGGGAGGGGTGGAGGTGGTTTTGACCCAGTCGAGTTGGAGCAGTGCTGGGACCGGTCTCACCCGGGTCTGGACTAAAGCCCTCTGCAGACGCACACACACAGTTTGGGTTTTCACAATCGCAGTAAACATTCTTATCTCTGTTTGTTTTTGTCATTTTTTTGTAGTTTTTGTTGGACATGCAGCGGCAACATTCAGAGCTGCAATGGACACAAGCACAACTCGCATTTACACAGAACAACGTGACCGCAAGCCAGGCCAGACCAGGCTGGACCAGGTCGGATCAGGACAGACCAGGCCAGGTCAAAGCAGGTCAGACCAGACCAAAGCAGACGGAGGCTTTGTCCCACCTTTCAAACGCTGTCACTTCTAAAGCTGCTTTAGTTTTTTTTTCTGGGTCCAAAACAGTCGACACTCATGGAATGTTTAAGATAAAAACAATAAAACTTTATGATACAAAATAGATAAAACCCATCAAAAAAAAAAAAAGATTTATAATGAATCAGCACGTATCTAAGATTTAAAGTGTAAGAAAAAGCAGTTTTCAAATGACACGGGACTTAGCTCGTGCTACCATTTTCATTGTTAGTTGTGCGTTAGTATCAGAAACCACAGTTCAGTTTAAAATAAATAATTTGCTAAAATCACACAGGAAAGAGGATTATCTGTAATAAGTGATTAGTTTCATATTTGACTTTCAATCTCAATGCTAATGTAGCATAAGTCCAGAAACTTCAGTGTTCTACATTTACCACTCTCTTGACACGTTTCCGTGTTGTGTTTTGCTGTTGTGCTAAAAACACGGCTCTTAAAGTCATGTGGATAATCGGAATGCGGAAACCGGTTAGGACTCGGTTGCGGCAGCGCAGGGATGGTACAGATTTTTGGTCAAAAACAAACATTATACAGAACTGTTTGTGTTTATACTGTTTACAAATATATAAAACATATTTTTTTTTTACTTTGGCTGAAAACGTGTGATTCTAGAGTTTTGGCAGAGTGGGCGTTTCCCTTTGGCACATGTACGTCTCACAAAGCCTCCGTCTGCGGTCGCCGCGTTGATTTCCCAAAAGAACGATTCATAAAGTCTGAAGCATCTGTACATGAGAAAAACCTTTGACAAAACAAAATCAAACGCTGTTAGAAATATTAACATGAGTATAAAACAAAAGATTAGTATAGATGAATATACAGATGGGAGAAGAGAAAACGCTTTTCCAGAATCAACAAACCACAAACGTCTTAGTGTCCAACAAAAATGTGTTTTAGGAAAAAAAGATGGGACAGGAATCGCCACTTTTAAAACTCTAAAAAAGCATATTCTAATCTCTAGATTCCACTTTTTAAAACTCTAGAACCTTCTTTTTAACACGCTAGAATCTGCTTTTTTAATCCCTAGAATCTGCTGGTGCCTTTAGGAATTTAAATATTGATATGTTTGAAAGAAATGGCTTTTTAAAATGAAATCTGATCAAAGAGGAAAGTCTGTCAGGGGGGATGACATCACAGGGGAGGGGGGGCTCATGATGTCAAAAAAAAAAAAAAAAACAGATTTTAACATTAAAAGTTAAAACAAAAAGATTTTGGGAAAGCGTTTTTGTTGTATGGTGGTCCATGGTTCTGAGGTGGACTGTTCCGGTCTGGACTGGAGAGTCCTGCTTCAGTCCTGCTTCAGTCATGATCCAGTCCTGGTTATAGTCCTGCTTTAGTCCTGGTTCTACTTCTGGTTCTAGTCTTGGTCTTGATAGGGGTTTCTTTGGCAGGGGAGGATTTCCCCTGGTTTAGTCCTGGTTCACTCAGTCTTCTTGTTTTGGTCAAGTCCAGTGTAGTGTGATCTCTGGTCAGGGTTTGGGTTTTGGTCATGGGTTGGTCTGGGTCTAGTCATCAGGGCAGACTTGGATTTCGTCCAAACTCTCCTCGATGGACTCAGGGACCCTGGACTCCTCTTCGGACATTGGGACAAACTCGGGGTGGGACATGAAGGAGTGGATGGAGCTTCTGGACTCAGGACTCTCCAGACCCGGGTACAGCGAGGACCGGAACGCATTCACCACTTTAATCTGAGGAAGAGGAGGATGTCAAACACAAGACAATGATCTGAGGAAGCCAATGCAAAACAAAACATACTGGACATTCAAATTAAATTTCAGTTGCTAAGAATAAATAGACGGACTAACACTAACTAGATGCTAAGCCGCTTTCTTAATAGCCCAATAGGAGGTGCTCATGGTGAAGTTTATAAACTCTCTCAGTCTCCTATTGACTTACATAAAAGTAAACTCCTCTAGCTCAGTGACCGTTTGTGTCACATTTACCATTTTGGGCTTAAACCTGTAGTTTAGCTCTTTCTGAACAGGAGCATTCTGTCTCCAAGTTTGGCTTCAGCAGCGATGAGTACGAGAGGGAACAGAGCAATGTCGCTTCTGATTGGCTCTTGGCAACTTGGTCAATAATATAAACAACATTTGAATTAATTTGGCTCCACATTCCCCTCAAATAGCCTGAGTCAGCTCCAATCCTTACAGAGCTGTGTGAGTTAGCTTCTCCCGTTCCTTAACAGTGTCATCCAGCCAACTGCAGCTCCTTCACCAGACACTGCATTCTGAGAGAAGCTCAGACCCTGGATTGTCATCATTATCATTCAAACAACTCTCTTCAACTCTGTCAGAGCTATATTAAAGCTAGTACTCAAGTCTGGACATCCCTTCTGTAAACACCATGATGTGGACAAAACACTCACAAATGAAACAACAAACAAAAAAATAAAATACACAAAAAGTTACAAATAATAAAAACATTCACATGAAACAGTAACATGACAAATTCAGGTGAAGTTTAATGGAATAAGAGACGACAGTTGCAGCAGCAGCAAAAATATCTTAGGAATAAAGCGTTTTTTAATCTTTCCTTTGAATAAAAGAATAACGTGAATCTTTCTGAACCTTTGTGTTTGAAATGTGCAATGTGAGAAGACGAGGATTATCTCACAACAACCTTATCTGCAGCCCACAGGGAGTGGGAGGGAGGGGATGAAAAGAGGAGAGGAGAGGAGAAAGGAAAGACAGCAAGGAGAGAGGAGAGAAGGAGAGGCGACATACAGATAAAATTTTCGTGTCATATTTTAGTTGTTATGAAGGGCCTTTTGGCTGATGTAATGAAGATCCTCGAAAGTCACCATCTGCCTCTTTGGCCTGATTTAATGAACAGCCTTGGGAGTCACTATCTGCCTTTGGTCACTCACTTCCTGCGGTTGGGGGGGCGTTGTGGGAGGAGCTCACGCCCAGGTGGGAGGAGCCTACAGACAGGTGTGTGGAGCCAAGGTGAGAGGGGCTTGTGAGGCCCTTGGCGCCGGTGTCGTTGTGTTGACTGACGACCGAAGGCTGACGTCTGAGAGCACCAGGGACCGCGGCCTGGCCGGTCTGGAAGGTGTAGACCACGTCCATCTGAGGGGCGGGGCCAGGTGAGGGAGTATGGTATCATGAAAGGGGTGGAGTTAAATGAGCGGGCGGGGTCAGGTGGATGTTTAAATGATTAAAGGAAGAAAAGAACAGGACAGAAAAGTTAAGAGTTAGTTTTTGTGAGCAAAACAGAAGAGAGTTAGTTTACAAGAGAAAAGAACAGACTAGGTTTCACATGATGCATCTTTGAAGTCCAAGAAGATGCAGCAATTTTGAGCCGGTCCATCAAAACTGTGTCCGATATTACAATCAATTTCCACAAACTTTGACCACATTCTGACCCTCGAGTTACACCAAATGTCTTGAGCATGAGAATCTGGAAGGGAAGTTACGTCCGTGGAGAGGATGAAGAGATGCAAACCAGGGAACAGTGCCCGAATCAGGAGCCGGGCTTCTTCTCTGACAATGTTCAAATACTGTTGTGTAAATTAGCTATGTTTTTATATAATTTGTGAGGAAAGTTATGATGGTCCATGCTCCATACTAAACAAAACTAAATAACATTAAAAATGATGTAATGATAGGGCATTAAATATTATTGTTATATAATTGTCTTGCATATCTTTTATAGAAGGCATCCTTTGGTGGAACAGGAGCATGTTGGGTATAATATTTAAAGGGTGTTCACTCGCCACACTCAAGCTGGAGTATAAAATAAAATAAATATATTTAATAAATGAAGAATAAATATATATTCTTAAAGTGAAGATTTATTCTAGTTGTTAAATGACTTGTTTTAGAAATAGTTTACAGAACATGTATTAAGGTTGTGGTTATACATTTCTAGAAATTTAAATTTTTAAGGTTTGTAAATGAACATTCATTTGCAATAAATAAAAGTGTTCATATCAAAAACCTACATTTTCCAAGGTAATGGAATACTATAGAAATACATTTTAGGTCATATATTCAGTATTCAGGAACAGTAGACATTTTCAAAGTATTCTGCGCAACACACCATAAATAATGTTTAAATAATAATACAAAGAATGTATTCAGCTTAATTGCAGGCAGAGCTTGCTCCTATACTGTGAAATCAGCTCATCATCCAGGAAAGACTTTAGTCTAAAAACACAGAGACCCCTGCTGGCGAAGTCTAGTAACAGCACTATCCTCTTAACCTATACACTTCCTACTTTATTCGTCCCACAGCGAATCAGTGGTACTTTGTCCATTGCTATTCACCCGCTGTCCCATTGTCTGTTTCATGGCAAAAAGATCTTGTTTTAAATAGCTACAAGAATTGTCTCTCTTGGAATGAGAAAATGAAGCAACTGTTCTGGAAATGAGACTAAATAGCTTGTCCCATTGGCAAATCTTGTTTTAAGACTGTCAGAATGTACTAAAATTAAGATAAAAATCACTCGATTCAATAAATTATCTCATATTTTATCATATTTTTCAGTGAACCACTGAATCCGACCTCCTTCATCTGCCCCTTGTGGACCGTCTTCCACGGCCCAGACACATCCCCTTCCCTGCCTGGAAGCCAGTCCAGGATCTACAGCCTCAGTGGTTCCTTGCAGATGCAGGAGGGCCTAAGACAACTTTGTCATATCCTCAGGCGACATACATATTGTTGAATATTGTTGTGTTTGGACAGGTTTCTGCAGTCAGAGATGCCACCCAAGTCACATAGCACCAGCCCCTCACTGCTCCTCCTGCAGGTGGTGAGTCCACAGTAAGTGGACTCACCAGACTGTAAGTGTGAGCATAGCCTTGATCTTCCAGCGGGGGCTTTGGGCAAAGTGGGGTTAAGTGTCTTGCCCAAGGACACAACAACAGCAGACATCAGTGGGAGTCGGTGGAGGAGGTGTCGAGGTGGGATCGAACCCACAACCTTCAGGCCTAAAGGCCAATGCTCTACCAACTGAGCTACTGTCGCCCGCTGCTCACAAACACCTCACAGATTTACAGTTGGCCGCATTACTGGCGTTTAACCCCTGGCTGTTTTCATTTGTGTCCACTCCACAGTGACCTCACATCTGGACCGGATCAAAGGACTTCCTGAAGACCAGATTACACTGGGACCAGATCAAGACCGGATTACACGGGGTTAAACTGCGGATTGTAATACCACGCATATGTGTGCGTGCGAGTGCCGCTCTGAGCCAGCAGGGGCAACGAGACCAGACCAGACCATACAAGACTCAAGGCAGTTCTAATGAGACTGATGTTACATACCCAAGCTTTAAACATGTGTTATTTATGAGACTAAAGTTGCGTACCCAAGCTTTAAACGGCTTTAAACCTGCTTTCAATATGTGATATTTGAGACAAAGCATTTGTGATTTATCTTGTGGTTCAGAGGACACCAGTACGACCCAAGACCTGGCCTCTCCTATGCTTGGGTCACCTGTGGGTCTGGTCCTGGTCTGATCTGGTCCTTGTCTCAGTCATACCTGGGTCTGGATCCGGTTCAGGCCCCTGAACCACAGGATCTGGCCTCTCCTCATCTCCATCTCTGCGTGGTCAATCTCGTCAGCTCCTTCAGGAAGTTCTTCTTCTGGGATTTCCTCTTTGGTGATCCCGTGTCCTGCCTCCTTCAGGAACTTCAGGTGATGAGTGGGGACAGACGTCACCAGCTGCAAGACAAGACATATTTCTGTGTTGCAGCTGACGTCAGCACAGTGGCACAAAATACTCCAAGAGACAGGAAGTAAATCTCCCTGTTAAGAACCATGTGAATCTTCACTGATCATGAGTCAAAAGACAAATTTTCTGTGGCGAGTACAGTTGTAGCAACTGCTCGTATAAAGTGAAGAACTAATGTTTCTATTTAGCTAAAATATATTTATCTAATGGTTGTCGATTTTTCAGAAAATATCGCAGCTAATGAAGCCCCACTCTAAGTTCAGACTTTTTACGTATTTATCGCAAAACAAATCCCTGCAATGAGAATATATGTGGCCTCAAATTTTGTTAAAAGTAACATTCATGCAATTATTTATCAGAACTTTCATCTTGGACGGGGCTTCTGTTGATCCCAGAGTGACAAGGTCCACTGTCATCACAATAACAGCCACTTAATCCTTTTCTCCAGTCAATGTTATTTAAGGGGTAAATAACAATTTAATTATTATAATTACATTAAACAAATGATATCCTAAATCCTGTTTTAATGTTTTTAGTTATTTTGAAATCCCTTAACATCAGAACGCCTCAACGCTGCTTCAAACCATGAGGTTGAACAATATTGTCCAATAAGATCAATCAATCAACGTTTATTTGTAGAGCGCCTTTCCTACACAAGGCAACGCAAAGCGCCTCGCAACCCATATTACATCATGCATAAATCATCAAACATTAGAATCTAAATAAACAAAAACATTAAGAGCACAAGATATATTAAAAACATAAAAAATAAAATCACACATGGGATTGAAATCATAAATAGTCATAGTGCATTAAAAAGATTAAAGATAAAAACAAAGATAAAATTATTCACTTGTATGCACAGCTAAACAGAACTGTTTTCAGCCCAGATTTAAAAACTGCTAGAGTAGACGTCTGTCTCAAATTCTCGGGAAGACTGTTCCAGACTCTAGCTGCATGAATCTGAAACGCAGCCTCCCCATGTCTAGTTCCGACTCTTGGCATCAGCAAGAGACCAGTCCCTGTGCTCCTCAGAGCCCGAGTTGGTTCATATGGAACAAGCAGAGCTGTTTTAAAGTCTATTCTCTGAGGAACAGGAAGCCAGTGCAGAGACCTGAGGACTGGACTAATATGGTCGTACTTCCTGGTTCTAGTCAGGACTCGAGCTGCTGCATTTTGAATGTACTGCAGCTGTTTTACAGCCTGTTTGGACAGACCTGTGAGCAGGCCATTGCAGTAGTCTAACCTACTGGAGACAAATGCATGGATAAGAATCTCCAAGTCTGCTTTAGACACTATGTTTTTAATTTTAGCAATGTTTTTTAGGTGGTAATAAGCTGATGATGTAACTGATTATGTTTTATGTGGCTATTGAAATTTAAGTCTGAGTCCAGTATTACCCCTAGATTTCTGACCTTGTTTGAAGGTTTTAGGGAGAGAGACTGTAGGTGACAGATGACGCTCTCTCTTTGTTTCTGGGGTCCGAAAACAATAATTTTTTCTGTGTTTAGTTGGAGATTGCATCCAATCCCCATTCTGTTGGATACAGTGAAGGAGCGAGTCCACTGGTCCATGTTCTCCTGTTATGATTGAAATGAATGATTATATATCTGCAAAACTAATTGTGAAGCCAACAAATTTTCAGGCCTCCGGGTCCGCTCTCGGGGTCCTCTCTCGGGGCCACTCTCAAGAGTCTGCTCTTTGTGCTAACAAACAAATACTAACCCACACTAAGAACTGCTAACACATGCTAACAGTCTCACCTGGCCCCACAGCAGCTCTCCGACTCCGATGAACACGCACCAGAGCCACTGGTCGATAGTCAGAGCCGTACACGAGAACGGCTTTCCCCCAAACTGCACGATGATGATCTGAAGAAGACCAGAGAATTTAGAAGAAGACCAGAGGCCAAACCAGAACCGAGAGACCAGAGAAACCAAAGAGACTTGATACTTTAGAGACCAGAAACCAGAGCATACGCAAACATACGCGCACACACACCTGCAGGACAAAGGTCCCCAGCACCACAGAGCAGAAGATTGGGTTCCTGTAGATGTCTTCAAAGACGTTCCTCTCTCCGTGGATCTTGCGAGCATTGATCTCGTTGAATAGCTGCATCATGACGAAGACATTGAAGACGATGGTGTAGTGTTCGGAGGGCGGCGAGTGCAGCGGTGTGTTCCGGCCCGAGTCGATGTCGAAGATCTTCTCCCCTAAAGACACACATGTTTTAGAGCCCGGAAACAGGGATGCGGATGGCCCTGTAATATTGCTGTGGTCTTGTGGTACCCAAGCTTTAAAGATACATATACCAGCTTTAAAGTTACACCCCCCAGCTTTAGTTAAGTGTGTCATGTGTCATATGCTGCAGCACCGTCACATTTCCATAAATCTGTTTAATGCTTCAGTCATGAACATCAAAGGGTTTTATCTGATGTGAGTTAATCAGAGCGGCACAGAAGTCCCTCCAGCAAAACAGAGACTCCAGAGAGACCAGAGTGTGTGTGGTTGTATGTGTGTGGTAGATTCCCTGAGTGCCTTGCTCACCGGCAAAAAGTAGTGTGAAGATGATGACGAGCTGGTAGACTGCATGTCCCAAGATGTTCTTCATCATGGTCCTAGAAATCAAAGGCTTGTTGCGTCCGTAAGGTTTCCGTAGCAACAGCGACTCTGTGGGCGGCTCTGTGGCTAACGCTAAGGATGCTAACGTGTCCATAATGAGGTTCACCCACAGCATCTGCACAGCCTTCAGCGGAGAGTCCTGGAAACACAACATTATCAAGGTCTGAAGCTGAAGCTAACAAGACTAACGCCAACTATGCAAACAAAGCTGATGATGCTAACGTTAACAAAACTAATGTGTTCATGAAGGCACGAGTCAATGTCGAAAATCTATAACCTGTAAATATTTACAGTCTATGGTTCACCTACAGCAAAGAATCCAGGATACACAACATAATCAAGGTCTGAAGCCAGAGAGAGGGACCAGAGAGAGACTTGAGAAAAGGGAGACCAGAGAGAAACAAGAGGGGGAGGGTTAGGGTTATCAAGGTGATAAGTATGTTTGGTGGTTACCTGGGTGATGCAGGCCCCGGTGAAGGCCACGATCACCGCCACCACGTTCACGGTGAGCTGGAACTGGAGGAACTTGCTGATGGAATCGTACACGTTGCGTCCCCACATCACGGCTTTAACGATCGACGTGAAGTTATCATCTGTGAGGATGATGTCAGAGGCCTCTTTTGCCACGTCTGTGCCAGCGATGCCCTGAGCCAATCACAGAAGAGAGGGGTTAGAGAAGGCCAATCAGAGAGGAGAGGGGTGAGAGAGGGCCAATCAGAAGAGAGGTGTTAGAGAGGGCCAATTAGAAAGAACAGGGGTTAGTTGTGTGAGTAATGGTGAAAGTGACTAAGTAAGGTGAGAGTGGAAACATGTGGTTTCATATTTCACATTCTGACGTTGGTTAAAATTATTGGCAGTGTTTGGCCCGTTTAGACCAGTGGGGGAGGGTCCCAGCTCAGTAGTGGCCAAAATGACGTGCGCTGACATGCTTGCAATACCACCCCGGGCCGATGGGGATGGACCCAGAAGAAGAATTAGCCAATGCTAATATAGCATTAGGAGACCTCTCGAAAACGTCTTTACAGGATGGTCCAAAAGTTGGCTCTTGGCCCAAAGCTCCGTTCCACATGTGTGTCAATGCTGAGGGGGGTGATTTTTTTTGGACCAGTCTAGTTTACTCGCTGTGAATTTTTGAAGTCTCTCGTTCAAATGAATGGAGCTGCGCCGGCTGACGCATGCGCAGATGTGTTTTTTCACAATTTTCTTGTGGGCGGGACCACTCGCAGCCATTTTGGATAGCTCCAGTAGAGCACTGTTTTTGGCCCATTAGTTAGAACGGCAGAGATAGGCGTGACTCTGTCCGTTAATATATACAGTCTTTGGTTTAGACGGAGACGCTGCAGAGACCAGGCTCCTTATTCTAAGTGCACAGCGTCTACACTACGACGGAAAACAATGTAGTTCTAGAGCCCAGTCAGTAGGGGGCAGTTGAACTTTATAACACAACACACGCGACTTCCACCAGTATAACTACTTTCTCAACAACATCCTCCTCAGGCCACTGCAAAGACATCATTCTGCAATTAACAGCAGCAGCGGAAATGGAAACTCAAACTACTGCTTTGCATGGTTTTCTTTCGACAAAGGAGTAGAATTGTCCTCTGTGTAGCGCTCAAAGAATACGTTAGCATTTTTTCACACGCTGCCATTCTTGTTTTCGTTTGTTCTCGGCTAGTGCGCATGTCCAAATGTACGTGCAGGGAAATGGGGAGGTCATTGCAGCAGAGAATTCACACCGCTTTTTCCACACGGCTGTTAAACAGCCCCCTGCTGTGCAGTGTATCTGTTCTGTTCCACTCTAGAGGCTGTTTCTAAATTAACGCGCTCAGAACAAAGCTATATGAAAACATTTCATAAAATCGCTCCACTGGCTTTCCGTGGAGTACAGAATAAGGTTTAAAATTCTTATTTTAACATACAAAGCCATAAATGACTTGGCTCCTTCTTATCTTCAAGACATGTTACTGTCAAATCAACCAAACAGAGCACAAAATAATAACGGAATCATTATACTTTCACTTCACAGTTGTCTGTTACTTGTGTCACAGACAACTGTGACACAAGTATTTTATAATGATTTTCTTACTTTCAGTAAAAAACTCATAATAAAATGTGCAAAAGTTTTGTATTAATACTTTCGGGAGCCACTGTAAAAGGACTATGCTCCAAAGCTGTGTTTTCAGACACAGCAGAAGCCAGACTGCAAACATGGCAACCCACTTCCTTATAGCTGTGATTAGACAGACTAAATCCTGTCTAAATCCGGACCTTCACTGACCATGGCAAAGCCCACGTCGGCCTTCTTCAGAGCCGGTCCGTCGTTTGTTCCGTCTCCGGTCACAGCCACAACCTGCCGAGTCTCACCAACCGTGCTGTCGATTATACCTGGAAGTACATACACAGTATTAGTACTACTGCTACTACTATTACTACTACTACTACACTTGTACGGACCTTTGACCAATGTGTGTTTGTCTGTCGGTGAGGATCTAGCCAGAACTCGGAGTTTGGGCCAAACTTTGTCCAGTCGCTCCTGCTCCACCTGAAACCAGACCAGACTTAGACCTGAAACCTGACCAGACCGAGACCTGAAACCAGACCAGATGAACAAAATTCCCCAGGAGGGGTCTGTGTCGACTGGTGCACGGTCATCGAGACTGGACCAGGTGTACCGCTACCTCTTCCTTCTCGTTCTCGTACACCTCAAACTGCAAGACGTGATGTTCATAACTAGCACCGTCCCCTGTCCTCCTACCTCCTGGTGATGCACTCACTGTTGCATTGGTTGCAGTTTGCTGAAAATGTTTCCGGCATTGCTACTTGCAGCTGAAATTATTTATTTTATTCTATTTAGTATAGTTATTGTTCATTAATCTTATGCTGGGTGCTTCTCATTCCTACTGTTCTGTAACTGGTGATGCAATACTGAAATTTACCCACAGGAGGATCTCTTAATCTTAATCTCAAATCACCGTTGCCCTGCCTCACGCTTGGATTCCCATCTTGCACTCGGCGGTGAGTCTCCTTGTTCAATACGAGTTTGTTATGAGTATAAAGAGGGTGTATTGAGTACTCTATTGGAGCTCTAATATTTGCCGTTTGGCTAGCACAAACATTTGGGCCGAGTCACAAATCATTTTTTGTTTAGCCGAGACCCTTATTAAACCCTTGAATTATAGTTTATGTTTTGTAATCCATCCATCCTTCCGTTTTCTCCCTCTTAATCCATTTCTGGGTTTGGGGGGTGGCAGTCAGAGCTACCACTCAATTCACATTCTGTAGCACCAGCCCCTCACTGATCCTCCTGCAGGTGGCGAGTCCACACGAGGAGTTTTATAATCCGTCTTAATTTCTCATGCTGACGATCATAAAAGAAATGTTGGATACAATTTTATTTAATTGTTTTCAAATATGATAAATAGACTCATCTTGATTTAGTATAGGGTTATCTTTGGACGATACACTGTTTTAATTTATATGATGTGTTGTTATTCTGTTTTACAATTCACATTGTTCGCAATGTTGTACTTGTATAGTTTATAGTTACTGGTAAGTATTGCAGTTTAGTAATTTAGTAGTAGTAGTAATCTTTATTTATATACCGCCTTTTCACTGCAGATCTGAGTCTCAAAGCGGTTTAAAATTGTTATTTATTTTTTGGGCATTTTGTCTCTCACTCCACACAGAGATAGGAGCAGGGTCTCCAGTACAGGAGGCGCATGCCAGATCTATTGTGCATATTTTTAGTGGTAGGGGAAACCGGAGTACCCGGAGGAAACCTACCATGAATATAATTTTCTTGACCTTGTGCAGGTCAAGTAACCCTCACTCCTGTGATTCCTATGATGGCGAGCCAAGTGCCCCACCTCATGGTAGGAAGTTGAACGTCTATATTCCTTCTTTTTTCAAATATTTCCTGAAGCACTGTCCCAAAAAACTTTGGATTTACAAAAAAACACTTGGATTCAGCAAATGAACATCATTATTTATGAGGATTTATAGAATACCCAAAGACTCAGAGGACATGAATTGTCTGTGTTCTTGTTTAGTTTTGTTTAATTCATCATAGCTTGTTTTTGTCTGAATCTTGAATATTTTTGGTTTTGAACTTACAATTTATTTAGATATTCAAGGATAATGTATAATATCTTGCAATAATACATAATAATTCAATTCAAACAACTGGCTTTGTTTTTCACTCACAAAACCTACTTTGGAGTCAGTCCGCCTAGCCCTGTATAGCCTACTGTTCCCTTCTCGTTCCTGTTCTGGACCCAGTATACCCTACGTCTACCTTCTCGTTCCCGTAGACCCTGTACTGGACCCAAAGTACCCTACCTCTCCCTTCTCGTTGCGGATCTGTGTGTTGAATTCCTTCCCCTCCATACACAGAAACTCCTCGTTCGGCAGCAGGATGCCGCACTTGGTCGCGATGGCGCGGGCTGTGTTGATGTTGTCTCCAGTCACCATCCTCACGGTGATACCGGCACGCTGGCACTTTGAGATGGCTTCTGGCACCTGGTCACAAGGGGGCAGCACGAAGCCTGTCAGACCTGCTTTAGACATACTTAGACCTCCTTTAAACTGCTTTAAACCAGGCTGGATAAGCTTTAGTCCGGCTTCAGTCCGGTATTAGACCTGCTCTAGACCTGCTCTAGACCAGCTCTAGACCTGCTCTAGACCAGCTCTAGACCTGCTCTAGACCAGCTCTAGACCAGCTCTAGACCTGCTCTAGACCTGCTCTAGACCTGCTCTAGACCTGCTCTAGACCTGCTCTAGACCTGCTTTAAACCTGCCCTAGACCTGCTTTGGATAAGGTTTAGACCAGGTTTAGGCCTGCCTTAGACCTGCTTTAGACCTACTTTGGAAAAGATTTAGACCAGGTTTAGTCCTGCCTTAGACCTGCTTTGGACAAGGCGTAGACCAGGTTTAGGCCTGCCTTAGACCTGCTTAAGACCAAAAATGTAAAACTTTCATTTTGTCTTAGACCTAGTTTTGGACGATTTAGACCCTGTTTAGACCCTGTTTAGACCCTGTTTAGACCCTGTTTAGACCCTGTTTAGACCCGGTTTAGACCCGGTTTAGACCCGGTTTAGACCCGGTTTAGACCCGGTTTAGACCCGGTTTAGACCCGGTTTAGACCCGGTTTAGACCCGGTTTAGACCCGGTTTAGACCCGGTTTAGACTCCGTTTAGACCTGGTTTAGACCTGGTTTACTTCGTTGGTCTCACCTCTGGCCTCACTGGGTCTTCTATGCCCACCACCGTGATGCAGGTGAGCTCTGATAGGATGCTGTTCTCCTGTTCCCAGTCTGGTTCCTGGTCCGGGGGGAAGTCCCTGTAGGCCACACAGATAGTCCTCAGGCCGTCACACGCCATGGGCTCGATCACCTTTCGGACCATCTCGTCCCGGTCTTTGGGCTTGAAGACCCGCGGCTGTCCCTGCGAGTCCAGGATCCGGGAACATCTGGAGAGAAGAGAGACTGAGCCGAGAGACCAGAGAGAGACCAGAGAGAGACCAGAGAGAGACCAGAGAGAGACCACAGAGAGACCACAGAGAGACCACAGAGAGACCACAGAGAGACCCATGATTGAGACCAGGGAGAGACCAGAGAGAGAAGCTAGAGGGATTCCTTACTTTCGGAGCACAATCTCTGACGCTCCCTTGCTGTACATGCGGAAGCCGCCCTCTGCAGTCTTCAGCACCGTGCTCATGGACTTCCTGGATGAGTTGAAGGTGTAGACTTTGTAGAGCTTCTCCTCTGGGATCTCCTCTCTGATTGGCTGATAGTCACGGTGTAAGTCCAGCACGAACCCCAAGAGGGCGCATTCAGTCTTGTTGCCCACGTGTCGAGGAAGACCACCCTCTTTCTCTGGAGGCTGAGGCACAAGGGTTCGGGTTCAGTGGAAGAGGTGTGTGTGTGTTAATATGCGTGTGTGTGTGTGTATGTGGATTGTGAGTGTATGTGCGTGTGCATGTACGTGTATGTGTGTACGGCTGAATTAAGTCTTTCTACCTGTTCCCCCTGTGACGTGGGTCACACAGCAGAGTCTGCAGAGTTACCGTATTATGAGTGAGGCGCCATGCTGTGGCAATATTCGGTGCTACAACAGTACAACAAAGAGAGAAAAAGTTTGGGGCCGAAAAAGCTGGAGGGAGGTTCCATGTGTTCGCAAAGTAAAGTCCAGCACTGTTCCAAAACAGAAACATAGTTGAAAATACTGAAGTCCTTTCACACCCGTTATAACACAGTTATTACGGGGGTCATAACGCTAGCTTATCATCTTTGCTCGATAAGCTCTCAAGATTATATCCAGACTTTTGTCAGTTACCATTAGATCAGAGCTCATGCAATGACTGGATGAATCCCTCTGCTAAAGCAAAAATCCAAAAAACATTATGTGAGGCAGTTTCCTTTGCTGGGAAGGCAAAATTTGACCCAGGTCCACAGAAAAAAAGAACCGGACACCAGTTGTAACGGTGGGTGGGAGTCCTCAGGTGAAGAGCTAGCAATAGCCATTTACGACACCCTCAGCAATAGTTTAGAACAGTGTGTGTGTGTGTGTTTGAAATTCCCTTTGAGCATGGACATTTTATAAAATGCACAAAGAAATGGTGACTGAAGTTTGCTCCAACTCGCTCTGGCTCTTATTGACTTACATGAAAGTAAACTCCTGTAGTTCAGTAGTCGTTTGTGTCACACTTTCTTTATAAATTCAGATACGAGTCATATAAGGATTGAGCAATCAGATGCCTTCATTCACGGGGGAAATTTCAGCTTGCTTAAGCTAACGCAGAGGAACAAATGCCCTATATGGAAATAAGCTAGCTTGTGTTCTAATCAGCGTGTTCCGCACAAAGGCTAACACTTTGGTGATGTTACACTCCCTCAATCCATTGCTCCTATACGGTCTATGGTTCTTACCAGGATCTTAGTGGTGTAGGCTGAGTTGATGGAGATAGAGTTGACCAGGACCTCCAGGATCTGGGCTTGGATCTGCGAGGGTTCTGGGACACTCTTGTAATGTGTGTCTCCCATGTACGACTGCACCACGGTCATGCGGTTCATGGTCAGAGTGCCGGTCTTGTCTGAACAGATGGCCGTGGCATTCCCCATAGTCTCGCAGGCGTCAAGGTGCCGCACCAGGTTGTTGTCCTTCATCATTTTCTACAAATCCACAAACAACAATTTAGTCTTTTACTGTTTAGAGCCAGTCCTAATGAGAAGAAAAACAAACATGAGATCAGTCTTCCTAGAGAACGCTAATCACTACTACTACTGCCCTCCCCTCTTCTAGTCCCTCTTGGCCCTGGTTCTATCCAGACAAACCTGGTACTAAAGTGTTCTCACTGCTGGAGTGCTGCTGGAACCCATAGTTACCAGACAATTTCCATGGATACTGGTTTGTTGTAGGTAGGTTGCTAGGATACGGTACCAGTTACTAAAGTGTAATGGAAACACAACCAGGTAGAGTAGAGCCGAGTCAAGAAGAAAAGAGCAGATCAAAAGTAGAGTACTAGCCACCGTCCAGTGATCCCTCACTATGACAAGGTTAAGCTTTTGTTGCCTCAGTGTTTTGTGTCTTTTTTACAGCGTGTATACTCCAACAACTATTGCAGTACTTCTGCAGTACTAAAGCCACGTTACTTGAGTTAGTGAACACTCGTCCATGCATTGGCAGTGGGAATGCGGCTTTGTGCAATACTTTGTACTTATACAGTACGTTGATACCTTGACAGAGTAGGCCAGGCTGATGGTGACGGCCAGTGGCAGGCCCTCTGGCACTGCGACTACCAGGACCGTGACGCCAATGATGAAGAACTTGACAAAGTACTGAATGTAGATGGGGGTGCACTCTGCCACCCACGACCGGCCCTGCACCCCGAACGTGTCAATCACAAAGTACAGGATGAGGATCACCACGGTAACAGCCGACATGATGAGACCTGCAGGAGGGAAGACAATCTTCAGGAGACTTAGGGATACCAGAGAGATAGACCAGAAAGAGGGATCAGAGGGAGAGCAGAGATACCAGAGAGTGGCCACAGACCAGAGAGAGGGCAGAGAGAAACAAGGGGTAGATCAGAGAGAGACCAGAGAAAGAAACCAGAGAGAGAGAGCAGGGATACCATAGAGAGGTCACAGACCAGAAAGAGGGCAGAGAGAGACAAGAGAGAGAGCAGAGGACTATCATCTAACCCAAACCCAAAAGCTAACACGAGACCTTGAAGAGAGCAGCCTCAGTTCTTAGCCTCAGTTCTCAACCTTAGCTTGGGATCAGGGTCCAGGTCCAGAACACTGACAAACAATCATATTTGACTCCATTCATCTTGGAGGGATCTGAAACAGCTTCAACTGGAGCCGTCTTTAACCCATTAAGGCCGGGAATGCATTCCTGTGTTTCTACCTTTCAAGCCGGGAGCGCTGTTGCGCACTTCTACCTTTAAGGCCGGGAAAACGGACATGTCTTTTTTTCTTTCTTTGACCTATTCTCTTCTTTGATCAATTCTCTTGACCAATGAAATGCATCAAGATATACCAGGGATGAGAATTTACTGCGGATCCGCAAATTATAATATAAAATATAATTTCTGTGAAATGTGTGACCGTGGGCTCTTTGTGTTATGTACTTGAACGGGATTCACATCCTCCGCTCTGACCCCGGGAGCAACTGTGGCCGCTAGAGCTCAGCGAACGCGCAGCCGTAACGGGTTCATGTACCGAGCGTGGACCATAGACGCGGGGACAGAATCATACACGCACAATCATGACCATCCCCAGCTTGTTGCACGTGCAGGTCTTGCCTGTCTCCCCCGTCTCTCACCCATGTCTCCCCCACGTCTCCCCACAAATTAAACTGAATTAAAGCTCAGGTACCTAAACTTTTGCTTTGTAATTTGTGCACAAAAGTAAAATGTTGTCAACAAACATACAAAACAGTCTTGTTTTTTTTGTTTACTTAAGAAAGAGCCCTGTGAGTCATTATTTGACTTTTAAGGCTGACGGGGAATTCACACAGTAGGCGTAAACAGCGCGTACGCGTTTACTGCGCGCTCTCTGCGCGTAACATTTTTTTGGAGTATCTACACTGACCGTGCGCGCAGGTCCGCGGCTTCTGATGCTGTCCCTGTGTAGTCTATGGAGCAGTGTAGAGGACAGTACGGGCCAGAGGACTGATGTAGAGCAACACAAATCACATGCATGCGTTTGTCTTCATGGTCTCTGTGCGCTGGTCTGGACAGACGTGAGACTTTATGAAAGAAAAAAAACGATGTCCAGAATCACTGTAAAACCTGCTGCTCCTCCTGCTGATGTTTAGATACAAGTGCTGTGTGTGTGCGTATACTGCGATCTAGAGCCAAGGACCGCTAGAAAAATCATGTTTTACATGAGATTTCAATGGGAGACGCGTTGGTGCGCGCACAAAATTAGAAATCCATCCTAAATTAGAGCGCAGCTTCGCGTCATACGTCTGTCATACGCGCGTATAACGATAGAAGTGTAAATATCATCATAGGTTACCATGGAAAAAAGTTACGCGCGTCTGCTGCGCGTATAACGCGTACGTGCTGTAACGCGTGATGTGTAAATTAGCAGTGAGAGTGGATTTTTTAAATATTTTTTTTGTGCCACTTTATTGCCAAACTCTTTGACTTATTGTATTGAGAAACATGTGTTATTCTCACATTATTTTTGGTTGTTTTATTATCTTGTTTAACTTCCTGTGTGGAAGTTGTATATTATTTGTATTATTCTGCTGAAGGTTTATAATACACTATTGACAGCCAGAGGTGTCAGCTCTCAAATTATTTTGAAATTATCTTTCTATCTGCTCCAGAGGCTGAGATATCAATCATTCTGTAAATGTTGAATTTCAGGAAAATTTCAGGTGTTGGAGGTGGTTCTTAAGTTAGCCATAGGTTTTTCAGGTCTGTTTTACCAGGTGTGTCAGGCCTTAATGGGTTAATCTGAGGGATTTACAGCTGGATCCACAAGTTATGGACATCTCACAGACACAGACCCAGGTTCAGGTCTAGGTCTGGATATAATCATTCTCTGTCTGTGTTTCAGTCAGAAACATGATTGTGCCTCTGTCCTATTGTTTATTGCCCTGACTGTGTGTGTGTGTATGTCTGTTTGTGCGTGTGTGTCCCTCCCCCCTCACCACCTCCTCCTCCCATGATCCTCACATGATGTTTTTTTTCTGGAGAATGAAGCACTGTTTCTTCAGTGTTCCTCCTCTTCCCCTCGCTCCCCACTATTCTTCCTCCTCCCCCCTTCCTCCCTCTGTCTCCTCAACCCTCTTCTCTCTCCTCCTCCCCCATCTCACCCTCCCATCTCCTCCTGCCCCTCCTTTCTCTTTTTTTCTCCCTCCTCCTCCTCCTCCTCCACCTCTTTCCTCCTCCTTCCTCCCTCCTCACCTGTCACTACCGTCTCCGTTTCAAACACAGTATTTTTAGACCGGAGTTATTTATACCATTGATTAAAAAAACTTCACACGACAACAGCAGAAAAGTCTGATTCCACTGTGTTCCTCAGCCGTAACTATAGTTTGAGAGCATAGCGTTTGGTCAGAAGGGACGGAGGTCTAATGGTACTGTAGATGGAGTTACTGCTTTTCTCCAGCGTCTTTCTTTGTTCACATGAACAGGTCCTGTATCCTGTTAATTAGAACTGGCCGAATGTGACCATAGTGTTACAGCCCCCGTGCAGTGTGTAGATGCGTGCTCGTTGTAGAAGCCTGGAGCATGCACACCACATGCCGATGTACCCGCAGACAAGCGCTTCTGCACGCAGCTGTGCTCATCCGCCCAAAGTAGGAGCCTCACCAGTGTTCCCAAAGTACAATTGCGCATATCGAGGCCTCTGTGTACAGAAAACTCCCGCACACAAAATTAAAATCCAGGCCGGAAAGATGTAATTTACAGAAGTATTTACAGCTGATTGACAGCGTCCCATGCCATTAGCACTCTGCTGCATATTTTTACAGTGTATGGGCAGTGTGGAGCTGCACACGCAGGCCTCAATCATAGACTAGTAACATCAGAGACTAAAGCTCTGTCCATAATGCGTCCGTGAGTGTGGGTTTGAACCAGACTAGGACCAACCTCACACTGTGAACCGAGCAGCACTATAGCAGCTGTGCGTGGACCTCCACACCTGCACACACATGAAAAATTAGAGGGAACATTGAGCCTCAATAGTTATTGTGACGCGAGACTACTCTGCCGAGGCAAGGTGTGCGTCTCTCACTGCGCTTGTGGTGTGTCCTTTGCAGAAAAAGCAGATTTGAACATAAGCTAGCTGGAACATTCCATCATTCATTCATTTTCTGCTCCTTTATTAGACCATTTCTTCGTCGGGGGGTGGCAATCAGAGCTGCCACCAAATGCTCATAGCACCAGTCTCTCGCTGATCCTCTGCAGGTGGTGAGTCCACAGGAAGATGGCTGCTACATCAGTGGTGCCACAGCCTTTGTGTTTCAGCGGGAGCTTTAGGCAATGTGGGGTGTCTTGCCCAAGGACACAACAACAGCAGACTTTAGTGGGAGCAGTTGGAGTAGGTCCTGTGGTGGGTTCAAACCCACAACCTTCAGGCCCAAAGGCCAATGCTCTACCAACTGAGTGTGACACAAACGATTATTGAGCTAGTGGAGTTTACTTTTACATAGTCAATAAGAGCCAGAAAGAGTTGGAGTAAAACTTCACCATGATTTCCTATTGTGTTTCACAGAGCGGATTAGCATTGACCTAGCATCATTAATTCGTAAACAGTCTTCGGTGTGAACATTAGTAGGACTGGGGCTGTTGTGATATGTTTTATGTAAGTGTGCAATATAAATAAATGTCTTTCCTTCCTTTAAATCCACTTCTGAACCTCAGTTCCTGGTGGTTCTTACGGCTCAAGTGTTCTAAAGTTACGTCCCCCAGCTTTGGTTCTCCCTGCTTCACGAGTCCTCACCTGCTTTTCCGATCTGCACGGCCAGCCGGGTCAGCTTCCCCTGCAGCACAGACTTCTCCTTCTTGGTGACATTGACCTTCTTGGCTGGTTTCACCTCCTCTTTCACCTCCTCCTGCTCCAGCGGCTCTCCGGCCTCGTCGCTCTTTAGCGGCTGGATCTCCAGAGCGATGCCATCTTTAGTGGGAGCTGAGGGGAAACCAGGGGGGAGACCAGGGGGTGGGGGCCAGGGCAGAAGGACAGGGGCGTGAGGAGGTGAGAGGAGGACAGCAGGTTAGGAGTAGGAGAGGAGGTTACACAGAGTTAAGAGTCTGGAGCTGAAGCAGGAAACAGAAGAAGCAAAACATCTGCCACAAAGACCTGCACACACACAGCACGAAAGGGTCTAAAACAAGGTCTACAAGTGTCCAAACATGGTCCATACAGGTCTACATATGGTCTGCAGGAATCTCCTGATCTATAAAAGGTCTGATCTCCTGCATCAGTCCCACCGTAGAGACAGCAAACCCCATGGTGTCTCCAGGCCGGGGAGGGTTCAGACTCCTCCAGTCCTCCCTTGTCAGGAACCAGATTTAGTTCATCAATCGCTTGATTGAGTAACCTGGGTTACACTTGAACCTGAAGGAGCTGGAGATACCATGTTTCTGCTTATATCTACAGTTAGTCAATGGTCTCTGAAGGCTTGAAGTTAAACAGCATTCCCTCTGTTTGAGCTACATCTGTAAAGTCTGCTTTCACCAGCCCCATTTAACCGCCCACCCCCCGTCAGAGCAGAAGCAGAGTTCATCACATTTACAACATCAGGACATTTAAGACAAAGAAGAGCACAGAGACGCTAGCATTGGTTAGCCACAGCAGCTAACGCCACGCACCAATCACAGCACAGGACTGCACCGCACCATGGTAAACACGCTCGGCGGAGGAGGGGTCAAGGGGGGCGGGGACAGGAGCACCCCAAAAAACAAACAGGAGAATTGTGAAAGAAACAGCGAAAAAACATGAAAACGCAACTGAAGAGGCGACAAGGACAGACATACAACATGGGGGAGGGGTCAAGAGGGGAGGGCTGGAAGTGGGGGGGCTGATTTACTACACTACTACTAAACACTGATCTAAGCTTTCTTCAAACGTCCAAATGCACATGTATTGTTTTTATCAGACTGCACTCTTGAACGCTGCTCCCCTGGTCTCAGTAGAGACCAGAGACCAAAGAGAGACCAGAGAGAGTGACCAAAGAGACCATAGAGAGATCAGAGACAGAGAGAGGGGCTAGAGAGCGACCAGAGAGGAACCAGAGAGACCAGAGAGAACAGAGAGAGACCAGAGTGAGACCAAAGACCAGAGAGAGGGACTAGAGAGGGACCAGAGAGGGACCAGAGAGAACAGAGAGAGACCCGAGAGAGAGACCAGAGAGACTTTGAATAAAGGCAACAGTTATACTAGCGATTATATAAGGTTGTATATGAAAGGTAAACCACATTATAGTGAGGGACCACCGTATAGCGGACTGTAGTGGTGAAGTTCGAGCAGCGTCTGCAGTCAGAGCTGTATTGGACTGTTGTGGTGAAGAGGGAGCAGCGTCTGCAGTCAGAGCTCTGGGTTTACTGCTCAGCCTATGCTTCTACCCTCACTTATGATGTTAGCGGCTGCTCTCTGCCCAGGAACAACCTCTGATTGGTGGAGAGTTGAGGACAGATGGGGGGAGGACAAATGGGGAGGGGGTGAAGAGGGTGAGGGAGGGGGGGGTTACCTTTGTTGCGGTTTTCAGGGGGTCCTGGTTTTTTACCTGTTCAAAGAGAGAGAGGGCGGAGGGCTGAGCATGGACCAAACAAACTGCTGTGCCAGGAATGGACCAATCAGAGCAGAGAGCCAGAGACCCGCCGAAGCACACAGCCAATCACAGGGCACCATAATGCGCTAACGTGAGACCGGCATTTAGTCATGGTCTGGTCCGAGTTTTGTCACTCGTATTACTATATCACATTAGGAATGTCCCGATCCAATAGAGACCAGAGAGAGACCAGCGAGAGACCAGAGATCAAACGGAGATCCGAGAGAGAGACCAGAGAGAGAGATAGAGACACCAGATAGGGAGACTTGAGAGATAGACTAGAGAGAGAGAGAGACCAGGAAGAGACCAGAGAAACAGTGACCAAAGAGAGAAGCCAGAACGTTTTTATTGTTTTTAGGTATGGACCACCATATGCCTTTTTTTTAGCTGTGTTAGTGTTAGCATAGACTGACTGAGCTAAAATGGCACACACCAGACAAAGTAAAACTAAAAATATTTACAAATAGCCACAGAAGCTGTAGCATTGGCCCTAGCATTAGCCATAGCATTAGCGTCATTCATTTAACACTGAACAAACGGTATCGGCCAACCTCTAAACACGAGAATTGGATCGGGAGGGTCTCATGTGACACATTAGGATGGTTGCCATGGCGATCAGGTCTCTTTGCTGTGAGTGTTCATTCCTTTACTTTTAATGGGTGATGAACTCAAAACTTCGGCCAATCAGAAGTCAGACGACAAATCAAAAGGGGTGGGACTTAGGATCAAACAGGGTCACAGCCACAGCACAAAGCAAATCAAAGCACAAGGCTACACTAATCCTACACTAACGCTATGCTAAGCACAAAGCAAATCAAAACACAAGGCTACGCTATAATAACAATAATAATAGAAATAACATCGTACTTATATAGCGCTTTTTGGACACTCAAAGACGCTTTACAGAAGAACAAATAAGAAACAAAAATGAAGGCAGTTTTGAACAGGTGGGTTTCGAGAAGTGATTTTAAGTTCTGTAGTGAGTTCCTGATAGGTTGTGGGAGTGAGTTCCAAAGAGTGGGGGCAGCTGAAGCAAAGGCTCGGCCCCCCAAGGTTCCGCACTTTGTTCTGAGTGAGGAGGTTGGAGTCTGCGGATCTGAGGCGGCGGTTGGTACAGCGATGATGGAGGAGGTCAGTGAGGTAAGAAGGGGCCAGGTTATGGAGGGACTTGTAGGTAAGGAGGAGGACCTTGTATTGTATGCGGTATGAGTCAGGGAGCCATTGGAGTTGTTTGAAAACGGGAGTGATGTAGTCTCTGGAGAACCATTCACACACACACCAGACTCATTCATGTGGGTGAAATGTCTTGCCCAAGGACACAATGACAGTTTGGCACTTTACAGCCGCAGTCGCCACTCTACGGCACCTGGTGTTTCCAAAGGTCTCCCATCACAGTACTGGCTTTTTGCATCAAATTGTGGACCATAGAAGAGGCTGTTGCAGTAGTTGACTCTGGAGGTGATGAAAGCTGCACTAAATGACTTTGAGAAACTTTCGAATCAGAACGTTGAGCTCGCTCTCTCCCCCCTCCCCTAAAATTAAATGACACGCCAGCACAAATCTGCACTACTTTTTCTTCAAAAGGACCTATATCCCAATGCATTGCATGGATATTGATTGAATTTTTGTAATGAATACAAAAATAAAGTCAGTTAGTGCAGCTTGAAGGAGTGGATGAGAATTTCTGCGGTGGCTTGTGTAAGGGAGGGGCAGATACAGGCAATGTTGCGAAGTACGTGGAGTCCCGTATAACGCTGAGGTTACGCACAGAGGGGAGGAGGGATTTGGGTCCGGTGAGGATGAGTTCTGTTTTGTTGCTGTTGAATTTGAGGAAATTGTTGTCCATCCATGTTTTAATGTCAGAGAGGCAGTGTGTTATGGTGGAGAGAATGACAAAGGGGGTGGATGGATTTGTTGGAATAGCAGTGTTGTTGGCATAGCAGTGAAAATTAAGTCCATGGTGTTGAATGATGAGGCTATGCTAATGCATGGACAACTATGCTAAGGCTTAGAGCTAATATTACACTAACACTCGATAAACTAATGCTAACACTATGCTAACACTCAGTATACCGAGCATGCTGTGTGAATGCAAACTCAGAATGCTACGCAACAGTCACACTAACTACACTAACACAGTGTGGCATTAGCATATAGCGTCCAGCATGCTGACACTAAGAATACTATGTGAACACTAGGTTTTGATGAAAGCTGCTCCCACAAAAAAGTTTTTCTTGTGTTTCTCACGTTTCTTACTTTTCTTGACCTTCTTCTCCTCGTCGTTCTCACTTGCTCCCAACAGCGTGAAAATGATTCCGGTCTGAGAGTTCAGTCCCACAGCAGAGACCACCATACGACCAGAGCCCTCCATCACATGTGTGCCTGTGGGGAGCAGAGAGCCATAAGAGAGCACCAGGGAGCTGCAAGAGAGCACCAGGGAGCTGCAAGAGAGCACCAGGGAGCTGCAAGAGAGCACCAGGGAGCTGCAGGGGAGCACCAGGGAGCTGCAAGAGAGCACCAGGGAGCTGCAAGAGAGCACCAGGGAGCTGCAAGAGAGCACCAGGGAGCTGCAAGAGAGCACCAGAGAGCTGCAAGAGAGCACCAGGGAGCTGCAAGAGAGCACCAGAGAGCTGCAAGAGAGCACCAGGGAGCTGCAAGAGAGCACCAGGGAGCTGCAAGAGAGCACCAGGGAGCTGCAAGAGAGCACCAGAGAGCTGCAAGAGAGCACCAGGGAGCTGCAAGAGAGCACCAGGGAGCTGCAAGAGAGCACCAGAGAGCTGCAAGAGAGCACCAGAGAGCTGCAAGAGAGCACCAGGGAGCTGCAAGAGAGCACCAGGGAGCTGCAAGAGAGCACCAGAGAGCTGCAAGAGAGCACCAGGGAGCTGCAAGAGAGCACCAGGGAGCTGCAAGAGAGCACCAGAGAGCTGTGAGAGCGCACCAAAGATCTGTCAGAGAGCACCAGGCAGTTGTGAGAGTAGCACCTGCAGTAGTATCTGGTAATTACAGTAGTATCTACAGTACATGCAGAAGTGCTTGTAGTAGTGTAGTACTTCTAGTAGTATATGCAGTAGTATTTGCAGTCGTATTTGTAGTACCTGTAAGTACTCGTACCTGACAGCAACATGGGGTCCTTCTCCAAACTCTTCCTCACATGGTCACTTTCTCCGGTCAGAGAACTCTCGTCGATCTTCAGGTCATTTCCCTGAATCAGGATCCCATCAGCAGGAAGCAGGTCCCCTGAACACAGGCATTTCGGCAAAACTGTAGTGTGTTCATGTGACATCAGCATGCATTGCTGCTGTGTCTCCCTGTATTTGACCTGCCTGTGACCCTGTTGTGGGTGTCTCTCTTACCATACTTGATCTGGGCAATGTCCCCCACCACCAGCTCGGCTACTGGGATCTGGATGACCTGTCCTTTACGGATCACGGTGAACTTCTGCTCCTGCTCGATCCGCGACTGGAGCCCCCGGAACTGCTTCTCTTTGGACCAGTCGTTAAACGCCGTTACCAAGACAACGATGATGACAGAAAACAAGATGGCCGCCCCCTCAATCCAGCCGGCCTGAGCCTCGCCCTCATCCTCCACGCCAGCTGCTGCCTGACCACACGCTGCAGGAAAATAGAGAGCCGTTTGAACCATGGAATGTAAATATTAACAGACAGTGACCTATATTTCCTCCGTTGAAATTGATATGTGACCAACATGCAGATTTAAAATGACCGCGAGCAGCACCGCACATGTCATTCATTTAACGAGTGCATTCAAAAAAGTCCATAGCGGCTAAACTAGGCTGGTCCGAAAAAATATAAATACTCCCCTTAGCATTGACACGCATCTGGAACATGCCGTTGAGCCAAGAGGAGAGTTTTGGATCAGGCTGGGAAGCCAAGTTTTGAGGGGAAAAAAAGGCCTCAAATGAATTCATTGGATAATTCTTTTTCCGGGTACGCCACCACCGGCAAGAGCCAGATTACCAGCGTACCAGCGCATGTGCTCACGGACCCTTTTGAGCCGTGGGGACCCGCCCCCACTGGTTTGAACTGGACACTGCGGCCGCTCACCCTCACTGTCGCCCCCTGGTGGGTGGTAGAAGGACAGGCCCAGGGAGATAATAGCAGCAATCTCCAAGATGATCAGAGTCACGTCCTGCAGAGCCTCCCACACCAGCTGCAGAAATGTTTTGGCTTTTTTCGGAGGTATGAAGTTTCTGCCGAATGCCGCGTAACGCTTCTCCAGATCCAAGGGGTTTCCCGAGAGACCTGCAGGGGCACAGCTTCATCATCATCACCATCAATATCATCATCATTGTTACTGTTCAGAGCATTATAAAACTCATAGCACCAAAGCAATTTGAGCTCTGCTCCTTTAGGTAATGTCACTGCTGTAGAAGTAACAGTTGTAGTGGTAGTAGTAGCAATAGTAGTAGGAGCAGCAGCAGCAGTAGCAGCAGTAGCAGCAGTAGTAAGGTACTCCAGACCCCCTGTGAATTGGGGATGGTTTTCTTCAAAGGGGACAGCACGAGTAAGTTCCCAGTTTCTGTTCTGTTATGTTTGAGATCTCCCCAAAGCGGCTCAATATCATAATGTAAAAAAGTGTGTCTCCATGTGTCTCTGTGTGTGTGTGTGTGACCAGCAGGGGGCCTCTGACTGTGACTGAGGTGAGATCTCAGGTGGAACTGAAATAACTGTGTGAAAGTCTGAGTGTGAAATACAGATCTAAACCAGGTCTAAACTAGGTCTGAACCAGGTCTGAACAGCACTAAACTAGGATTAAAACTAGGCCCAGAGTGGACTCAGTCCACTCTGATGTGATGTGATTGAAAATGAAAGGAGCTTGTTATGTGTCCACTGGTTTAGACTCGGGTCAAAGGACTGACACCAGACCAGGTCTAAAGCAGGACTAAAGCAGGAATGAAGCAGAACCTAAGCAAGACCTAAGCAGACTTAAGCAGGTTATAAGCAGTACTTAAGCATGTCTAAATCAGGTCTAAATTAGGTTTAAATCAGTACTAAAGCAGGACTAAAGAAAGTCTACAGCAGGACTAAAGGAAGTCTATAGCAGGACTAAAGAAAGTCTACAGCAGGACTAAAGGAAGTCTATAGCAGGACTAAAGGAAGTCTACAGCAGGACTGTTTTTATGTAAATGAGGAGATAATCTTTGTTACTAATTATAACTGGAACAATGACCTGATTTGGACAAACAGCAGTGTGATCGCTCAGACTGGCTACAGGGAGAAACCCAGACTTTTAACAGACCCAAGACCCAACAACCCGACTCATGGGTCTACAGCCTCAGTCCCGGGTCTACAGCCTCAGTCCCGGGTCTACAGCCTCAGTCCCGGGTCTACAGCCTCAGTCCTGGGTCCACAGCCTCAAACCTGGGTCTCACTTACAACTGATGGAGCTGGAGTTGCCTGGATTTTTGGTGAGCTGTGATATCAATTAAATTTGACCCAATTTTAAAATAACATATTTTACCCCTGTGCTCGTTAACAACAGCCTCATTAGTGTGGGCAGGGCACTGGGTCTCTGCGACTAAGAGGATTATAATCGGTCTTTGTTTCAGACCCAGGTACAGGTGGTCTGAATTTTAAGTACTCCAGCTTTAAACTTACTACAGCGTCTGCTACTACTACAACTGCTGCTGCTACTATTACTAATACTATACATTACTACTGCTAGTTACTACTACCAGTTCATGTTGAGTTGAACTTTTGCCTGATTCACAATTGGTTTTGGCCACACCCTGGAAAGGCACAAATGGACACACCCTCATTTACATACATACGCACACATCAAATACACACGTGCACACTCACAAAGAAACACACCCTTTACACTCATTCAAGCTCCAATCTGGTTGATGAGTGTTCTGACATTAAAGCCTGGGCCTGTAACTTTCAGACCACAGCAATAGAACTATGTAATAAACTCATGCCTCTAGTTACTGGCTCTAAAGTAGTTGCTTCTATGACTAGATTTCACATCATGTATTTTTGGCCTTTGTCAGCTTTTTCAAACAGAAATCTGAAAAAGAGAGGACCACCCTCACTGAGCCAATCAGCTCTCAGCCCAGAGTCAAATAGTGACTCACAGGGCTCTTTATTATTTATCCGTTTCAAACAAACAGCTTCTGTGTCATCGTCACATGATAGTTCCTCTTCTACTGCAGAAAAACAGTAAGGAATCCGCTTTGTGCGTGTGTGTCTCTGTGTGCGTGTCTCTGTGTGTGTGTGTGCCTCTGTGTGTGTGTGCGTCTGTGCCTCTGTGTGTGTGTGTGCGTCTGTGCCTCTGTGTGTGCCTGCCTCTGCCTCTGTGCCTCTGTGCGCGTGCATGTGCATGTGCATGTATGTCTGTTAGCAGCAGCAGCAGCAGCACTCATACTAGTACTCCTACTCGTAGTAGTACTCATACTCATAATAGTACTCGTACCTTCGATGGGTGAGCTCTTGAGCCTCCTGCAGATGGCGCTCACGTCTCCATAGTCTTCCCGGATCTTAGTGCAGGCCTCGGCGCTGCGAAGCTCCATCAGGTCCCTGAGCTCCGCCGTGGTCACACCGAAGTCTCCGTCCTGCGCCTCATTGGTCGAGTTCTGGGGGGCGTGGTCCGACGTGTTGTTCGCCATGGTGACCGCGGATAAAAACAGCAATATCCAATCAGAGAAGAGTGTGTAGCTAAGTCCAGAGGAAGCAAAGGATTATGGGAAGTGTAGTCCTCACTGAAGCATCATCCACCAATCTGTGGGAAAAGGAGTGATGTGTTATGAAAACCAGGTCTTGCTCTTTGTTTTGACCCTTTCATTTTGGCACATGTTGCACGCACACGCACACACGCACACGCACACAAACACAAAACAGGTCGGCACAGTGTTGCTTACTGTAAATACTGTGTAGAAAAGTCAGTATTCTGAAACTACTAGAACACCAAGAGCAGTCATTTTGACAGCTCCCATTCACAACAATGGAGACATTTCAGTTTTATTTAGAAAGTAAGTAATTTAAAGGTGCCCTACGAGGTGCACCTCATAGGGCCTCAGTCCCGGCCTCAGTCCCGGCCTCAGTCCCGGCCTCAGTCCCGGCCTCAGTCCCGGCCTCAGTCCCGGCCTCAGTCCCGGCCTCAGTCCCGGCCTCAGTCCCGGCCTCAGTCCCGGCCTCAGTCCCGGCCTCAGTCCCGGCCTCAGTCCCGGCCTCAGTCCCCGCCTCAGTCCCCGCCTCAGTCCCCGCCTCAGTCCCCGCCTCAGTCCCCGCCTCAGTCCCCGCCTCAGTCCCCGCTTCAGTCCCCGCTTCAGTCCCCGCTTCAGTCCTGGTCTCTGGTTCCTATAGTTTGTGGTGCTGCAGTTCTCTGCAGACAGACCTGATCTGAATGACAAGCAGAGCTGCAGCCCCACACCCCCATCCCTCGCTTTCTCCCCTTCTCTGCCCCCTCCCCCACGCTCATAAACCCAAACACACAGAGCACAGAAGAGGGGAATCCTCCATCCACCACTCAGCTGATGACACACACAGGAAACCCTTTTAGCTGATGTACGTAACTTTAGTCACATAAATATCACATGTTTAAAGCTAGGATACGTCGCACTCTCTGGTCTCGCACTCTCTGGTCTCGCACTCTCTGGTCTCGCACTCTCTGGTCTCGCACTCTCTGGTCTCGCACTCTCTGGTCTCGCACTCTCTGGTCTCGCACTCTCTGGTCTCGCACTCTCTGGTCTCGCACTCTCTGGTCTCGCACTCTCTGGTCTCGCACTCTCTGGTCTCGCACTCTCTGGTCTCGCACTCTCTGGTCTCGCACTCTCTGGTCTCGCACTCGCTGGTCTCGCACTCGCTGGTCTCGCACTCGCTGGTCTCGCACTCGCTGGTCTCGCACTCGCTGGTCTCGCACTCGCTGGTCTCGCACTCGCTGGTCTCGCACTCGCTGGTCTCGCACTCGCTGGTCTCGCACTCGCTGGTCTCGCACTCGCTGGTCTCGCACTCTCTGGTCTCTCACTCTCTGGTCTCTCACTCTCTGGTCTCGCACTCTCTGGTCTCGCACTCTCTGGTCTCGCACTCGCTGGTCTCGCACTCGCTGGTCTCGCACTCGCTGGTCTCGCACTCGCTGGTCTCGCACTCGCTGGTCTCTCACTCGCTGGTCTCTCACTCTCTGATCTCTCACTCTCTGATCTCTCACTCGCTGGTCTCTCACTCGCTGGTCTCTCACTCTCTGGTCTCTCACTCTCTGGTCTCTCACTCTCTGGTCTCTCACTCTCTACTCTATTGGTCTCTGTCTCACTCTCACTCTCTGGTCTCTGTCTCACTCTCACTCTGGTCTCTCTCTCACTCTCTGGTCTCTGTCTCACTCTCACTCTGGTCTCTCTCTCACTCTACGGTCTCTCTCTCACTCTCACTCTCCGGTCTCTCTCTCACTCTCACTCTCCGGTCTCTCTCTCACTCTCACTCTCCGGTCTCTCTCTCTCTCACTCTCCGGTCTCTCTCTCTCTCTCTCACTCTCCGGTCTCTCTCTCTCTCTCTCACTCTCCGGTCTCTCTCTCTCTCTCTCACTCTCCGGTCTCTCTCTCTCTCCGGTCTCTCTCTCTCTCTCACTCTCCGGTCTCTCTCTCTCTCTCACTCACTCTCCGGTCTCTCTCTCTCTGGTCCCTCGCTGCTTTCCTCCTCTCTCTCGTACCCTCTTCACCCTTTCCCTCCTCTCTCACAGAAACACAAGTAATCCTCCTGAATATTTAATGTTTTCAGAATCAAAGCTCTGAAGCCCCACCCCCTAAACTCAGTGGAGCTCGTTAGCCACTGACGCTAATTAGAACAGATGTCATTGGAGGGTTTCCCAAAGAGCGGTCCTGCCTCCTCCATCTGCTCCACAGCAGATCAGAGAGAGTTCATCAGAGCCAAAATGCCGATAGAGGCCGTCATTTCACGTTTCCTGGACAAACCTGCGTTGTTCCGCCAGTACAAAATTACACTGCTGTAGAAACAGACCTGGGTTATTATGGGGACCTCTGTGTCTCCTCCTGAAGCTCATCTACAGCTCACTCCCATTAATGCATGAATGCATGTCGTTTATGCCCAAAGTAAATGTTGTGAACAGGTAATCTTTAGCTTTTTACATGGCCATTACGTGGCCATACTTGCAGGCGAAAGCCAGATCCCGTCAGACGAAGCTGTGCAGGACAGGGCCTGGTTAGTACTGTGATGGGAGACCTTCTATAACACCAGGTGCCACAGTCAGGAGGCTGCGGCTGTACAATACCAAACTGTTGATGTGTACTTAGGCAAGACACTTCACCCACATTGCCTACGATGCATCTGGTGCGTGTATGAATGGTTGATGGTGGTTAGAGGGGCTGATGGCACATACTGGTTGCCTCACTTCTGTCAGTGTGCCCCAGGGCAGCTGTGGCTGTGAGTAGTTTATCAGCACGGTGTATGGAGTGAAAGAATAATGATATGTGAAGTCTCTTTGAGCGTCCTGAAAAGCGCTACATAAAACCGATGCAGGATTATTATTATTACTACTATTATTATGACATGGGAATTTTTAAAAGTCTGTTGCTTACTTTTAGATTAGAGCTCTACGAGTCACTTTTTGACCTGAAAGCAGATTTTTTGAGGCTGGCAGAACACATTTGTGAAGCAGTTACGACCTGATCTCCTCTCAAATTCAGATTTTTTTCATTTGCCATTTGGAGTAAAACCTCATTGGAATACATTTGCAAAAGTCCCAGTGTGCACCATACAGGTACATAAATAAAACAAGGTAATATGAACACGAATAAAACATGCTAAAAAGTGAAGGATGCAATCATCACTGTGAAATCAATCAACACAAACAGTTTCTGTATTAAAACAGTTTTTGCGGGATCAGTAAAGTGCTTTGTTTCAACTGATAACAGCTTGTGGAAAGAATCCTGCATCTCAAGTTTTCTCTCCCCTCTCTCTCCTCTTGTTGCTAAACTCTTTGATCTGATGTTTAATCTTTGTCCTAATTGCGTCTAAAGGAAAATCAGGGATCAGAGGTCAAAGGTCAGGAACTACTTCCTGCGCCGGATTAATACATGACAAGGCGTCAGCGTGTTTCAGTGTTCACACGCAGATCTATACGTAAATGTCCATTAAAGCTGGGGTCTGTAACTTTCAGACCAACAACAAAACGTTTTAATAAATCCATGTCTCTAGAAAGATAGATGATAGATACTTTATTGATCCCCGTAGAAGAAATTCTATAACCACATCCGTCCATAAAAAATATAAATACATAAGTTGCATAAGGTTTTGACCATTTTCTCTGCTGTTAAATGCTTTATTAGATTAAAAAAAAAATGAACACACTACTGCAGTAACATTTACCGCTAGAAAAAAGCAAGAAAAGCTCTGGCTCTAAAACAGCTTGTTTCTAGCTCTAGTTTTCACGTGTATTTTTGGGTTCCTTCACATCTTTTGTTCAATTTTTTCAGACAGAAAAGTGAAAAAGAGAGGTCCACCCTCACTCAGCCAATCAGTTCTCAGCCCAAAGAGGCAATTAATGACTCACAGAGCATTTTCTGAAACTAAAGATGAAGATAGCCTGTTGTGGTCTGACATTTGTCCAGCTTTCTGTTGGAAAAATTGGGTATGTTATGAAAATAATGTTAAGTACCTCAACTTTAAATATGTGTTATTTATGAGGCTAAAATTACGTACCCCAGCTTTAAGTTTGATTTTGATGTGAACAGAAGAAACTGCATGAATCACAGACAGTGACTCAGTGACGAAGAGGTGGATTCTATAGGGTTTATATAAGAGCTTAGATAAGGAGGAGAGGATGTTGATGTGGCTTCACACAACCATGAACATAGGAGGAGGCCGGACTATAGCCGCTGCTCCTTAGTAAGGACCAAATTGTCAAACACTATATTACACCACAGTAGACCAGACCCAGACCAAGACCGGAGACCAGAACCAGACCTGACAGGACTTATCTGAGTCCCAGCGGCTCAGAACCAGGACCTCGACCAAATATGGACATGTTTGTTTAGACAGAGAAGGAGACCTGGATCATGTCTGAAGATCTGACTGTAGACCTGCTTCAGTCCTGGTCCTGGCTCAGTCCCAGTTCAGACCTGTCCGGATTTATATAGTGATTTTTTGGACACTCAAAGACGTGTCCACAATTGTTTAACTCCATACACGGTGGTGATAAACTACTGCGCTACAACTGCCCTGGGGCACACCGACACAAGCGAGGCAATCATACGTGTCATCGGTACACACACACTCTAGGGAATGTGGCTGAAGTGTCTTGCCTAAGGACACAGCAGCAGTTTGGCACCATTACAGTCCCCGTTCAGACCCTGTTTAGCCCCGGTTCAGACCTGGTTCATGACACTGGTTTTATTGTCACATATTTTCCGTTGTCACAAGACTCATGACACAAACAATGGAATCTCTGGCCCAGGTCTAAACCAGGTTTGAACTAGGCCTAAACCAGGACTAAACCAGGTCTGTTCCAGGTCTAATCCAGGACCAAATCATGTGGTTTATTACGCACTATTATTATAGAGAGCGAGATAGAGAGCGAGATAGAGAGCGAGAGCGAGAGATCAAAAGAGAGAGCAAGAGAGAGAGTGCAAGAGAGCAAGAGAGAGAGTGCGAGAGAGCGAGATAGAGAGCGAGAGAGAGAAAGAGAGAGCAAAAGAGTGCAAGAGAGAGCGCGAGAGAGGGAATGAGAGCAAGAGAGAGAGCGCAAGAGAGCGAGAGCGAGAGCAAAAGAGA